TTATTGGGAATTTGGCCAGTTCCCCCTAGATTTCAAGCATATGAATGGAAACTTAGGGGGATATTTTTTTTAATATTGTGCCTTTTTTTTTCCCCTGAGAATTGCATGAAAGTGGGTGAAGTTATACACTTTCAAAACTCCTCTTCAGCCATAGGGTCACCTTACAGCCTTCAATATTTGTAAATCCATGGTTCCCTTAACAGGGAAACAGTTTTTAAAAGGAACTGTGTGAATACGAGAAACTTTTTACTGATTGACCAAAAAGTACCCACAGAAATGCAAGCTAAATGAATCACAGTAGAAACCAGTGCTTTTCTGACATTTTTTTTCACAGTAACATTTCTCATTCTCAAGTCCTTTTCTGTTCTTCCCCATTTCCAGTGTTCCTTCCACAGTTTTGTGTAAGAAGGACGTTACAACTTTTCAACACATTTTTCAAATATGTTTGATGTCTGAAAAAAGTGCTATTTCCATTCCCTTCTGTGCTGTTTTCCTTTTGAATTATTTTATGTTATTACTTTATTACTTTATTGCTTTACTTTAACAAGGAGAGTAGATGACCCACAGTACTCTAGACATTGTAACATCTCTCTTTCTTGGTTTTCCAAAACTCCGAAAACTACTTATTGCAGAAATAGAATTTTTTAGGAAAAAAAAAAGCCACAACAACAAGTAGAAAAGTAGAAAAATTTTTACTTTGAATTTTGATATATAACTGCTTTACTATACTACGGATTCAAAAGACTGCTAAACACTGACAGTTTGTAAGTGCTCTGAGTTCTCACAGAAACAGAGTTTAATGTTTCTCTTTGATATTTTAAGTAGCAAGTCTGAGAATATTTTCGTGATCCACATCAGCACTAAGGCACAAGAAAATGCCTGTTTGAAGTGTCTGCACCAACAGAGTGAATAATTGTTACCACAGTGTTCCTTCTCACTCTAAATTAGCTGACAATTTGCCCTGCTTAATTACTTAATTATCTTGCTATATCAAAACCTCCTGCATTGATTTCATTTCAGCCAAAGTAGCGTTAAATACCACCATTCCCATGCTCACAGACACCCTTAGATCTGTGGTTCACTCTTTCCAGTGTGTGTGGGTCCTGCAGTACAATTTTACTGCCAGCCAGGAGACGGAGGGAAGCACTCCCATACCAGACTCACAGCCTGGGCACAAGAGGAGGCAAAGCAAAACCCACACTGGGTTTTGGGTTTTGGCTGCTGCCTGCCCCATGCAGCAGGGCAGACCTGCTCAGGGCAGGGGAAGGCTCCCCAGCCCCAGGGGTTGCCCCAGAGGTGTGCAGGTTGCTGCCAGGGAGCTGCCTCTGGAGCAAACACTTGGAGCAGAGCTGCCATTCCAGAAAATATCCTTGAGTTTTGGCCCAGTGTTACTCAAGGGAGAGAGTGGTGGGAGAGCACTGTGTGCATGCATGGATGGCCTTGGACTGAGTGCCCATAATGAGCTGGCTGCCAGACTTCTTTATAACAAGTTGTACAGAGTAATGTAACATGGGTTTGTTCCCCCAGATTTTACCTTCCTATAAAATGTATACCTGTCAAGACAGTAATTACCAAGGCCTAAGCCTTCACTCCTCAAAGAGAAATGACTGGCTCCAAGGAAGCACACAGCATCTCAGAGGGGTGAAGGTCACTATTACAGACTGGTATCTAGGACCTAATATGTCCTTTTTCACTTTTCCTCAGCTCTGAAGAACTGGACCTGACTCCTCAACATATCCTCTCAACACTCTCCAGTGGTTCCTTTCTCAGCCTGACCATTGTTTCTGCATGTTTCTGCACATTTTTTAGCTGTCAAACTCTCTTGCTATAGCAAAGAGAACCTTGTAGTGCAAAACCCCAGTCTGTCTATGAGAGCAGTCAAAAAAATAAAAGAACTGAGTTGTATGCACCCATTTTGATTTTTGTGCACATAACATAATAAAGTAACCAACCCAGGTCATCAGAAGAATTTGCAAGTAGTATCTTAAACCACCTTGTTGCATATGCCCTTGAGGCACCCAGCTTAGCTGGGCTTTAGCTGATGGTCAGAACAATAATGCTCTTTTACATTCAGCAGTATCAATGTTTTAAAGGCTGCACGGTCCTTTGTGGAACAAAAAATTGATGCTCCTCATTCGTGACTCTGGTACAGCCAATAATAGGTGTTTACATAAAACACTTTTTCAATGGTTGTATCTTGCAAATAGCTGTTAATCGATGAGCTGCTAGATTAAACGTTTGTTCAGTAATCATAACTAGGCTGGTGAACACACAATGTGTCACTCTGTCCACATTATACCTTTCCAAGGAAATCTTACATGCTGCTGTAACCAAACTACACTTATGTATTTTACTATATTTTAAAAGCTTGCAGGAGGCAGACTACATGATGTCTTTTGTTCTTCGCTTAGATAATACTGGGCTGCTCACAATATGACCATAGCATTTAACCAAACAAGTAAATACACTTCAAATCATAAGGCCCATTAAACAAGAAAGAGTGCTACAGACACGATTTTGTTCTCCATGTGGGTGACAAAATAAACAGTTTGTGCTACTATTCACATCAACAGCTGCCATTAAGTCAAACTGCCCAGAATGCTTTTCATCACCCCAGCATCTCCCAGGAATACATGTGGGTTTCTGGGGGCTCCTCCAGTTTAAGTTAAAAGCCTGTTCTCTCAAAATTTATGTTACCCAGAACTGTAATGGTGCTGAAGAGGATGAGCTGCCTTTTGAGATGGTCTTTAAAAGAAAGAAGTGCCACTCAACCAGCAGAAAACAATTGAGTGTCAAGAGCAGACTTCTACCCAGCATGAAGTGACAAAGAGAAGAGGTTTGTAAGAGCATGCTTCTTCATATTTCCATTTTATTACATTTTAACCTTTGTAACTATATATGGAAGTAAAGCATTCTGCTTTCTTCTTGAAAACTTCTTCAGAGTTCAGCTCTCTTGAACAGTTTGCCACATGTTTTGATTTATTTGGTTTCCGTGTAGCACAAAGCTATGCTCTTGATCTCAGTTTCCTCCATCCTTTGGCTGGAGTTTTCTACTTTCTTTTAGTAAAAAAATAACATTTAAAAAAGTCCCTGTTTTTTTTTTTTTTTTTTAAGAAAACCTGTTTTCAGGGCAGATCATATTTCTTTAGGCTAAGCAGTTTATCAGAAAATAACAGAAAAGTTATTAATCTTTTAAATCTTAAGGAAAACTAGAGATAGCATGTTAATTACTTGGATTGACTCAATAGACTTAATGCTCTACCACAATTGTTTAATTTATTTATACTTTTATACAGAAAAAATGAAGTTCAAAATCTATGTGACGCATTTACAGTTTCAATGGGCTTAAAACCTTTATAATGATGCCCAGTAGATACAGTTTAATTGGTGTTTAGTTCTTTCTACTGTGAAAATTGAAAATTTGAGTTAATAAATATTCATCTGGCTGTGCTTTCTCAGCCTTGGGTGTAAATGTGCTGAAAGAAGAAATGACAGGCAGGAAAAGAAACATGAAGAGACTGACAAAAACAGAAGGAAAAGCTAAATTAAGTGATAATTAAAATGAGGTGAAAAAGAGCAGAGATGGTGTTAAATATTAGTAGGCAGAAAAAAAGGGGAAGTGAAAGGCACCCCAAACAGTACATAAATATAGTCAGACTCCATATATCCCCCACTCCTGAGGGTGCCTTTGGGTGAACCTTGTCCCTGGCACTTGGGTGCCACTGCCTGGCCCTACTTGCAAAATCCCTCTGTATAACACAGGCTGCTTGATAGTTGTAGCTGTCAAGGTTTTGCAAGCTATAGTTTTTTTGTCTATGTTCATTCAGTTTCCAGTGCCATGGTGTGCTTGTAATAACATTTGGTTTAGTATGGGGAAGAAATGGGGTTTTTTTACTGTGTCCAGAATACCCAGAGGCAACTAAATCCCAAAGCAAGTGGGTTAATCAGTACTGGCTGAATTGCCATGTCAGTATTTTTCTGACAACCATTGTATACCATAATGATAACACTACCAAACAGCGTGTACTAATGATCTCTGTTTTTCACAATAGTACTATATTTCTGTTATTCAAAAGAAAAACAGATTTTTCAAAAATAAATATTGCTGGCCAAATGCTTAAGTACTTTCATTAAAAGTTTTCATAAAAAGAGTGACTTGCAAAAGGGACCTGCTCCTGCCTACACAAGAGGATAGTGATATTTATGTCCTTAGATGCAAACTAAACCTATGTTCTGACAATGTTTCTCTCCATGTTTGTGCCTTAGCTAAAAAACAGATTAATATATCAATACTCATAGTAATGCTAAACTAGCACTCACAAAAACTAGAGCTCAACAGAAAAAAAAAATCTGCTTATAAAGCAGATAATGTTTTAGATTAGTCAGATTCTTCCACTTTATTTTGTCAGCAAAAGGGCAGAAAATATTTTTTTCTTCTCTTAGATCTTTTCCTTGAATCTCTGTTTGCAGCTACAGCTTGTAAGGATTTTCCAGTAAAACCTGATCTGTCCAGTCATCACTATCAGGATAGGACTGGAGGAGAGGTCACGAACGGACTTCTCAGCTTTAGCCTTCTGTTCTAGACTTGCAGGTTTCAGACTTATGTATCCAGAAAGAAGCTGAGGGAGCTTCAGAATTTAAAGTGACTGATTTTCAAGAGCAAAAGGTACTGCACTCTAGCCAATATCGATGCAGAAGACTGGGACTGGAAATAGAAACAGGAAATATTGAAAAGGGCTTCTCATCTGCCCACGGGGTAAGGCACTGCCCAGTGCAGGCCACCCAGAGTCGCTGCTGTCCTGGTGTGAGGACACCCCATGCAGTTTATTTCATCAAAGGAGATTCCCATTTCCAGGAAAGTCAGATGATAAAAGTGTTATTCTGCTAAATGCAATTACAAAATACTTTCATTCTTCATTAAAAATGGAATGTGAATTTCCTACACATCCAATCAAATGAAGGTGTTTACAATGCCCTTTTATTTTCCTCTCTGCAGCTCTTCTCATCTAGAAAGTGGAAAATCAGTCATAAACGTACCTCAGAATTAGGAAAAACAGTACCTGTGCTGCACACCTACGTGTATTTGAGACCCCAGCAAGGATGCAATTGTGCTGTGAATCAGTAAATGGCTCTTGTATAAGGAGCAACTGGTCAAACAGTATCCGTATTTCCATGTACATCTTCATGGTTTGCATTATTCTGGCCACAGTGGTTGGAAATCTGACAGTTATCATCTCTATATCACATTTCAAGCAGCTCCACACGCCTACAAATTTCCTGATACTTTCAATGGCTACTGTAGACTTCCTGCTGGGAAGTTTCATCATGCCTTGCAGTATGGTGCGCTCTGTTGAGCACTGCTGGTATTTTGGGGAGTTCTTCTGCAAGATCCACACGAGCACTGACATTATGCTGAGCACGGCTTCCATCTTCCATCTTTCCTTCATATCCGTCGACCGTTACTATGCTGTGTGTGACCCTTTGAGATACAAAGCAAAGATAAATGCTTTTGTCATCGTGGTCATGATGTGTATAAGCTGGATGGTGCCTGCTGCTTTTGCTTTTGGGATGATCTTTCTAGACCTAAACTTGAGAGGGGCAGAAAAGATTTATAATCATGTCCACTGTGCAGGAGGATGCTTTCTCATTTTTAGCGAAACTTCAGGTATTGTGGCCTCCACAGTGTCTTTTTACATCCCTGGATGTATTATGCTGTACATCTATAGGAAAATATACTCTGTGGCCAAGAAGCAGGCAAAATCCATCGATGCAATTAGCAGGAAAAAAATGCAATTTGAAATGAAGCACCACATTTCATTCTGCAGAGAAAGGAAAGCTGCTAAGACTTTAGGCATCATAATGGGAGTGTTTCTCATCTGCTGGACTCCGTTCTTCTTCTTTACAGCTACCAATCCATTTATGAATTATGTGATACCTCCTGTTTTCATTGATGCTTTGGTTTGGTTTGGCTATTTAAATTCCACACTTAACCCAATTGTTTATGCGTTTTTTTACATGTGGTTTCGCAGGGCATTGAAAATTATTCTGTTTGGAAAAATTTTTCAACAGGACTCTTCCAGGACTCATTTGTTTTCTGACTAATATGTTTTAAATGGTTGCATTCATGGCTTTGAACTTTTGCCTGGAGGCTGAACTCCCAGATCTAAGAGCTATGAAGGAAGGAAACACCTATTTGTTTGCCTATTTACCAAATTTAGTTCAAGCAGATAAGCGATCATTGTGCTTCACAAATTCTTTCATTCCAGATTGGGTTTTGTATGCAGTGTTTTGATTATATTTATTTATTTGCAATGCACATAAGAGCAAGACCTCAATTTAAAAAAACTTATAGCAGTTTATAACCCTGATTTTCATAATTAAAAAACTATTCTGACACAACAGATTAATTTCTTGAACAAGGTGTGTTTATATTACGATATTTGTGTTTGTGTTCTTCTCTAGAAAGAGCAGAAAAACCTTTTCTTTTGAATTTCTTTGCATCCTTGGCTAATAACCCAAAGCTCTCTAAGTTTTGTCCTTCCCCTTCCGTATGTGTACAGTGTTCAAAACAGGCCAATAACCAGCCATACCAGCACACTCCATGGAGGGAAGGGGAGGCAGAGAAAAGTTGGGCTGCTCTTTCTGTTTCAACTAGTACTTGGCACCTATGAGTTTGTCACTTAAAGGCTTTGCTGCTTAATGAGATCAAAAGCATGTTTAGCAAGATCAAAGATAAGAAAAAATATGAAGTGGAAAGCAATTGCAAAAAAGCTGCGTTGCACCTGAGAATGCCAGAAAATTATGTCTATCTGTGACTCTTTAGATGTAAAACATTTTTGCTACTTTGCATCTTAGAGAACTTTTTTTAGCTTGAACATGTTATTTTGTCTCATGCCAATGCTGTAAGAGCTTTTGAGGAAAGCATATAGAGAATTGTGAAGAAATCCTGTGGTTGAACTCAGCTGGATTATGAAGGAACAGTACTGAGAGTGGGCAGGAAATGATCAGTATCTGAGAAGAGAACATGGAGAGAAATTGATGACTGTACTAAAGTAAGAGCTACACTCAGCAGTATGTCCTCCATTTGTGTTCCTGGTAAAAGTGCATCATATCTGTATTTTGTTTTTGTTTTCTGTAATTTGTAGGCCACTGAAGCAATCTATGCTGAAAAGCTTAAAAGTTGAATGATGATATATTTCAGCAAGACAAAGTATCAGGAACTGAAATTGTGTATTTTGCCAATATATTTTCATTGTCATCTTGTAAAGTTTGCCTGCCTAAAAATGACATAAAAAGGAACAATGAAATGTATCAGCACTTCTTTTGTCGATCCATGCTAATGACAATATGACTGCTTTAACTTTAATACTTAATGTCACAAAAATAAAGCAAGATAAAAAAATCTTTCTGATAAATGATGGGTAATTATTTTCTTCCTTCATCTCCAGTGAGTCTGGCCCTGCTGTAGTTAATGTTCACAGAATCACAAGGCTAGAAGAGACCTTTAAGATCATCGAGTCCAACCCATGCCCTAATACCTCAACTAAACCATGGCACCGAGTGCCACATCCAATTTATTTTTAAACACATACAGGGATGGTGACTCCCTGGGCAGACAATTCCAGTACTTGATCACTCTTTCCATAAAAAACTTTTTATTAATATCCAACCTATATTTCCCTTGGTGCAGCTTGAGACTGTGTCCTCTCATTCTGTCAGTTGCTGCCTGGAGAAAGAGACCATCCCCCAGGTGGCTACAAACACCTTTCAGGGAGTTGTAGAGAGGGATGAGGTCACCTCTGAGTCTCCTTTTCTCCAGGCTGAACAACCCCAGCTCCCTCAGTCATTCCTCACAGGGTTTGCGTTCCAAGCCCCTCTCCAGCCTTGTTGCTCCAGTGTCTCAACATCCTCCCTAAACTGAGGGGACAGAGCTGGACACAGCACTCAAGGTGTGACCTCACCAGTGCTGAGGGCAGGGGGAGAATGACCTCCCTGCTCCTGCTGGCCACACTATTCCTGATCCAGGCCAGGATGCCATTGGCCTTCTTGGCCACCAGGGCACACTGCTGGCTCGTGTTCAGTCAGCTGTTGATCAGCACCCCCAGGTCCCTTTCTGCCTGGGCACTGTCCAGCCACACCATCCCCAGGCTGTAACATTGCAGGGGTTATTGTGGCCAAAATGCAGGACTCAGCACTTGGATTTATTAAACTTCATCCTATTGGACTCTGCCCATGCATCCAACCATTCCAGGTCTCTTTGCAGAGCCCTCCTACCTTCCAACAGATGGACACACACTCCCAGCTTAGTGTCATCTGAAAATTTATTAATGAATGACTCAATGTCCTCATCCATGTCATCAATAAAAATATTGAACAGGACTGGCCCCAGCACAGACCCTGAGGGACACCACTGGTGGTGATCCCAGCTGGATGCAGCACCATTCACTACCATTATTCTCACCTTCAGTGTTACTTTCTTATAGCCCTATTTCACTGAAAATCTGGAATTATCACTGTGTTTCCAGACAATTCCTGCTCTACCAGAGTTTACAGTTGGAAATTTTCTTTTCATAACTTGTTGTGGCATCTCTCAGGCATTCTTTTCTGGTTGCAGGATGAGTTGGTAAATAAATAGGATCCCAACTTGCGTGCAGGACAGACTGTACTTCAAATAGATCATGTCCTTGCAGACCCTCCTGCTAAGCTAATTCTTAAAAACCCATAGAAACCAGAGCAACACTCCCTAAGTGAGAAAAACTGCTGGTAAAGACAGTCTAAGCCATGTATGCAAGTAAAGCAAATTAAGGAATTCATCACTACTTCCCAGCTGCAAAGCAGATCTTCAGCCATTTCGAGGAAAGCAGGGCTCCACCATGTGTAATGGTTTCTTGAAAAAACAAACACTGTAACTCTCTTTCACTGTAACCCCAGTTCCTCCTTCTCCCCCCAAGGTTTTGCTGAGCACATCATCATGTGGTGTGGACTCTCTCTCTGGTCAGCTGGGATCAGATGTCCCCTCCCAAACTGTTGAGTACCCCTGGCTACTCAAAGAAAAGGCCTTAATACTGTGTAAGCACTGCTCAGTCTTAGCTTACATAGGGGTTGTGTGTGTGTTATCAACACTGTTTTCATCACAAATCCAAAACACAACACCACAAAAACGTCTATAAAGAAAATTAACCCTTTCCCAGCTGAAACCACTAGAGAAGATATCCAAACATTGTGCCTTCATAAGACCACCATAATCTGTTTTGTTTCCAGTTTCCACATACAGGTTGCTGATGACCTTCAGCTACATCTGGAAGGCCGTCTTCCTTGTTTTTAATAAACTAAAATATAAACCCACTTCGTGCATGGCTCAACTCTGAAAGTTTCCGAAATAACTTTTTTCCTCTGGTGCCACCACTTTCCCAAAGAGCCTCCTTGCCTTCTATTTACAGAGTCTTCTCTAGCACAGTATCTGTAATGAAGTCCCAGGTTACTTTCTCTCATTAGCTCTAATCACAGACAGCATAAGGCTATTTCCCACTGTGAGGGTGATGTGCACATATGAGAGGTGTTAATGAGGCCACAGGGACTCTATTTGGACCCAAGACCTGAATAAATTAGTAAAGCATAAGGAAAATGTCTCATGCTGTTGTCCAATCAGATCATGAGTTAGGTCTGGTGGAGCAGAATATACCTTACTGCAGTTTCAAAGAATCCCAATGCAAACGAAGTGCAAAGGGTATTGTCAAATTCCTTATCAACACATTTAATTAGTGACCTTGTTAAACACTTCCCAGATAGCCACCTTTTGCAAAACAAATTATTCCCTTGTGGGTGATTTCAAATGTTTTAACTACCCCAAAAACTTGTGCAAAGCAATTAATCCAGCATGATGAAAGGCTCTGTTTCACCAATAAACTTGCATCTGTTCCTTTTGTCACCAGGGAGGACCATTTGTAATGACATCTACTTTCCATGCTTTGTAAAAAACCAACAGCAACTTTCAGAGTCCTGAACTGCTGCCTGTATCCTGCCTTAGTGCCTCATGTTTTGGTGTAGCACCTCATGCATGGTGGTGCCATCTGTGTCCAAATCTCGTGGTCCCTCAGATACCAGAGGCAGGAGGATGGGAAAAGAGGAGGAGCACTAAGTGCCCAAGCAGGACCCTTTCAGAAACCTCAGAAAGGAGTCACTCTAAAATGGAGTATTTTAAACTCCTAGATTAAAAAAATGCATTGGTGAAGTTTTCAAACAGTGAAAATGAACGGTCAAAATGCGTAAATATTGCAAAGTGTATGGCTTTTCTTAAATCATTAATTCATCTAGGCAGTGCACACTGTGCACTCTCTGTCCTCTACAATGCATTAATATCCATTCAACAAAGGACAAAATAATGGATACAGTCAAATATTAGACACAGTGTTCTACGAAATTCTTCTATTTCTGCAGATTTTCTGATCATCTTCATTGTCTATGATGCTATTTCCACACATTGCACTTGAAGACTTAATTCAGAAAAAGACTATGTCTACCCGTAAGCAAGCGCTTTTTTGACTAATCTCTTCTCATTAGACATAAAGTTTATTAATTTCTTTGATGAAATTACTGGCCTGGTAGACAAAGGAAGAGCAGTTTTTATTATCTACCTAGTCTTCAGGAAGGCTTTCAACACTGTCTCTCATAAGATTTTCACAAAGAAGGTAATAAAGTATGGGCCTGATGAGAAGAAAGTGAAGTGTATTGGAAACTAGCCAGGGCCAGAATGCTGATCATTAGCATGAAATTTAATTGAAGGCCAGCAGCTAGTGATCTACCCTATGGGTTAATGCTAGGTCCAGTCCTGTTCAACATCTTCACTGATGATCTGCATGATTGGGCAGAGTGTACCCTTTCAACCTCTACAATCCTGTGATTCTGTGAAATTCAATTCCCATACTGTTTACTGAGTCTTGCATAATGTTACATGATCTTGCATAACCAGGTACATTTAATTTCCTTCTTTGCAGGTTTTTTAATAAAATCTTTTCACCTTCATGCTGCCACTTTAAATCCAACTAGCTGCATGGGTAGTTGAAAATGTTTCTATGAAATGATTATGCAACAGCCTTTGTAAAACAAATTCATTTCTTAAGAGACTGGATCCACAAGTAACTTAGACAATGGGAACTCCACAGCCTGCTCCTAGATGTCTTGACTTTTATTTCCCATAGGTATAGGAAAAGTCAATTTCCTTAAACACTGGCTGCTCATAGGATACAGACTAAAAGCTATCTGTCAGTTAGAGAGGAATCACTGAAAAGAGAGTGCATCCCATACCCTTTGGACTTCTTCAGTTCCCAACAGGAGAAAACAATTCTTTGACAAATTTGAGCTTGTCTTTTGCTGTTGTTGCCTTAGTGAAGGTTGCCCAGAGGAATAAAAGCAGTTAGTAATAAATAATTGAATAACTCTCTTCAATCAGTATTTAAGCCAAACATGGAAATAATGAGGCACAACGTGATTTGTGTCTACCTTAAGTCAGCAAAACAGCTCCCCTGTACATGAGGGTAAAGGAATTAGTACAGCAAACAAAAATAATGGCGTTGGGAATAGACACTTTATCTCCTATTGGTGTAAACCCCTAAATTGCATAGATATGTTTAGCTCAAAATCTACCGGGAATTAAATGTATTGTCATAAAAGAAAAATAAAGCCCCATCTTTCATTAATCTGAGCCAGGTTAGAGAGGGGATCTGCCTGTTACTCACAGTGCAGTTTTGCAGGACAATAGCAAAACAGAAAAATGTCTACTTAGAGAATTTATTTATGGTATTATTAACAGATGCAGGGAAGATTAGCCTATAAAACTGGCTGCCCATATCTGTTTTAATCTTTTGATACAAAATTTCTGTATTTTCTTCATTCCTGAGTGATACTTATTAGAAAAAAGATCAGTGGTCTGAGCTGCTTCCCATGTTCATTTTAAGTGGGTTAAACTGCTGTGGAGAAGAGTATCTCTTTCTGCTTCTGTTTCAAAATTCGGTCTTTGTCCAAAACAAATTATCAGGAAAAGAGGTAGAAGAAATGGGTCTGGTTTTCCACAGAAAATTTAAAGGAATTTTTTTGCCCCTTGAAACTATTCACTAGTGTATTCATTTATAACTACTGCAGCTGGACTACAGTTTATTACAGGAGATAAACCTCAACCTGTCTCCACACCCTTTTTGTCAGTGGGATTATAATGATAGAAAGCAGGTGTATTTGTAGGGAAAGGAAACAATATTAATTATCATACCAATTTTACGACCAATTTCCTTCAGATATGTTCATTGCTGGTACTTTATGATGCACAGCAGGTGAGTTTAGCAGCATAAATAATTTGGTAAATGAGTGTTTGGCAACTGATTTGTGACCATTAAGATGAGCATGGGTGAGTAGTTCATTAACTGAAACCTTCAAGAAAGCTGAGGTATACCAGCTCCCATAACATTTCTCCCACAGAAGAAATATCAATATTCTAAGAGACATAAATCCTATATAATATTTATGGACTGAAGTGACTCGAGGGTTTCTTTGTCTGTGCATGTTTTTCTACACTTTAAATTTACTATTATTATGATGTATATAAGATACAAGAACCATACTTTCCAAAATGCTCCAGATACGAAATAAAATGTCTATTATAATATAATTTAGTTAATTTAAGAGGTAATTAAGTTTTCGACTTAAATCTTTCAACTGCTTTGTTTTAAATAATATTTGCAATTAATTTTAAAATAGCTTCCAGTTACTGAATTTCATGTGCCATTTCAGAAGAATAAATGGTTGTAGTTGGTCTCTAAACCAAGAGAAAATTTGCCTCTGAATTACTGCATTTCATTTAGTTATGGAGTTCAAGCTCTTGACTTACTTTACCTTGTATTCTTGTATGTTAGGATTTGAAATATTTTGGAGACTTGTGAAAATTAAATCTGCTGATGGAACTGCACTTCCAAAAGAAAAGTCTAATAAAGGATTGATTATGCTTTCTCCAAATATCTCAAAGGATTTGGCTGATTGCTCTGAGCTTGGAAACAGATCCTGTCCTGAGAACTTTAGGTCAGCAGAAATACGAGGAGTAATGTATTTATTCATAACTGCAGTCTTCCTTCTCACCATCTTTGGGAATCTGGCCATAATCATTTCCATCTCGTATTTCAAGCAGCTCCATTCTCCAACCAATTTCCTCATCTTATCCATGGCTGTAACAGATTTTCTGCTGGGCTTTGCCATTATGCCCTACAGCATGGTGAGGTCTGTAGAGAACTGCTGGTTTTTCGGGATTATATTCTGCAAGGTTCATTACAGCTTTGATTTGATGCTCAGTTTAGCTTCTATTTTCCATCTTTGTTCCATTGCCGTGGATCGGTTTTACGCAATCTGCCACCCTCTGCATTACTCCAGCACCGTGACTCCAGCAGCCATAAAACAAATTGTGGCCCTGTGCTGGTCAGTGCCAGCTGCTTTTGCTTTTGGTGTAGTTTTCTCAGAAGCTTATGCTTCTGGAATTGAGGGATATGAAATGCTGATTAAGTGTTCAGGCTTGTGTCCGATTGTGTTCAACAAACTGTGGGGGGCTTTTTTATTTACAGTTGGTTTATTTGGTCCTGCTTGCATTATGATAGGGATTTATGTTAAAATTTTTACTGTCTCCCAAAGGCACACATTGGAGTTGAGACAGGCACACAGGCTCTCAAAAAATAATAAGAAACATGAGCTTTCTAAGAATAAAGACAGGAAAGCTGCTAAGACTTTGAGTATTGTTATGCTGAGTTTCTTAATATGTTGGTTTCCTTGTTTTTTTGCAATCTTAATTGATCCATTTTTAAATTTTTCCACTCCTTTGTCTCTGTTTGATTCTCTAAACTGGCTTGGATATCTAAATTCTTTCTGCAATCCGTTAATATATGGATTCTTCTATTCATGGTTTCGGAAAACATTTAAATATATCTTAGAAGGCAAAATATTAAATCCACATTTTCGTACAATAAAAATTTTATCTGAAGATCAGCCACAGTAATAGATTCTACTAGTGAGAGTAGCTCTAGAAATGAAGAAGAAATAGTGGATTACTGAATATTAATGTTTCAGTATGAGTGCAATATGAATTGTATGAGTCAGTCCTGTAGAATTCTTTTTAATTTCAGAAATTAATTACATACAGCCCATAAACTCACTATTTCACCTAATCTTGTATTTATGCAGCTAGTCTTTCTTAGGGTTCACTCGTAATAGCCCTAAACTGAACATATCCCAGACTCATATAGTGAGAAATTTGTCACCCTTTTGTGAAGGAGGCATTAGCAGATGTATAGTCTCCTGCTATTCCCAAGCAAATAAAATGGGAGTGTAATTTTGGTTCAAAGTCAATCTTTTCCCCTGAAAACAACAGAATCAGGATTTCATCCCTTATCCTCCGTGTGCTTTGTACTTGGAAAAGAGTACTCAGGAACCAGAGCATGGCTTGCACTCAGCTCTCTGCTTGTCTGGTCTTTGTTTGGATGTCAGGCTCCAGATGTTATAAAATATGCTTGCTGTCAGCTCACCATACCTTTGCACTGAACTGGAAGCTCTAATTTAAGTCCTTGCCATGCTGACCTCCCTCTGAAATCAGAAAGAGGCACTGTCAGCATTCACATCAGTTACATATTTAAAATAAGCTTAACTGAGTTGTCTTTACTGAATGCAGGCATTGCAGTGTTTTTATTGTGAATTGTACCTCTGAGTTACCTTTTCCACTACGCCTACAGTGTATACTCTGCCCTTATTAAAGAGTGATTACCAAAAAGCCTTCCACGTTTATCTGCTTCTTGGCTTATCACACCTGCACTAGCATGCCGTGCCAGTGATGGCTACTTGTTTTGTTTGCTGAAAAATTTTTAATGGAACTGTGGTAATATGAACACGTGCTATTTTGGATGTAGAAAATTCCAGTTTCACATCAACCCTGAAACACTTAGGACAGCAAGGATCTGGAAGGTCACAGACTTGTCTGAAGTACAATGTAAGGCTCTCACCTTTCCCAGTAGAAACATAAACCCCAAGGTCTTTAATTTGACACGTTCTTTCTTTGCGCACAATTGTCACTAGCTTAACAGCCAGACCAGGGAACAGAGCAATAGAGTCTTTAGGCACCTGCAAGGTGGGTAATATGTTGTCCCATACCATTTCTCCGTGCATGCTTAGGGAGACCCCTGGATTAAACACAAGGGCAGCCAGAGGGGTGCTTGTGGAGAGCAAGAAGACTAAGCAGCAGGTTGATTGCAGCCAGTGACTCAGTTCTGGAAAGCTGGAGCTCCAACACAGCCTAGCCCTGACTTTCAGAGCCTGTGCTGTTGCCTCAGGTTTTTCTAAACTCATCTTTATCTGGTTTTGCTCCTGCAGTGCGTTCCTGGGGGCCAGCTCTCTGGGGAAGCAGAGGGCAACCCTTGCATACAACACCTTTCACACAACGCCTTAGTGGTCAGGGTCCCATCTGAGATGTCACCAGGAACTTTCTGGTTCTCCTTTCGGAGCCGAGCCATGTGAAATACTCAGTTTTTGGAGGTGATACATAGGGCCTGTAGTGTGTCAGCAACAGCAGGGAGAGGCAGAAGAGATGGTGTTGCAGCCAGCTGTGCCAGATATTGTCTGCATGCAGCTCAACCTGGCTTCTTCAGAGAAATTTGCATGCCAGATTTGTCTTTGTGTTGAAACTAGTCTATGATGGGTTTTTATTGAAAGTTAACAAACATACATGGTCCCTGATATCGTCCCAGCAGTGCAACCATGAGTCAAAAGATGGATCACAAAAAATTATATATAACACTAGTCACAGAGACAACTACAGATCCTTTTCAAGTGTCTTCACAATCTTTGCTGCCAGCAGTATTTTTCACAGTACTCAAGTATTTTGCAGAGTTTAAATACCTTATGTTTGTTTCACAAGAAACTAATGTGCTACATTAATGTTAGGTGTCTAAGTCTCTAAATACACTTTTAGGTATTTCTGAAAGCTCTTCTAAATATTAAATATCTAGCTGATGACACACAATGCAATCAGAGACATTTAAGTAATTATAAAATTACTTCATTAACATACAGCATAAATAATTTAGTCAACCCTGTACATTACATCTCCTACAGTGACAACTTTTGTCTCAGTGTGTCATGTCCTTCTGTGTGTCCAGTGTGTGCCCTTGGATGTTAAATGAGTATTTACTTAGCTAGTTTTGCTAAATGACTTGCAACCTGTCAGTAGGTCTTTTGTAGCTCTGACCAAAGGCTCTTGTAGATCTGTCACGTGGTGTAATTTGGCTCCTGAGCGACTTTGTGGCATGTCATGCTGCTCTCCCTGCTGTTAAGCTTGATGCTGGTGCTAAACTTGCAGCTGAAAAATACCCCACTGCTTAGCACAAAACCTAGTGCATTAGAATAAAACTTTTTTTTTTTTTTTTTCTGCAGACCACACTTGCTGGTACATAGGAGAACATAAGTGTCTGTGATAGTTTTTTCTGTTTTGTTTCGGTGGTTTTTTGGGGGAGTTGTTTTTTTTTCCTGAAAGTCATTATCATTAATCTATTTTTCCACACTACACAGTGGACTGTTTTAGCATGAATTCTGGTCTATAGCAAATCTAGACAGTGTTTTTATTCCTCAGGGAATCAGCCAGAAGGGTTAGGATGTCTTGATTCCAGCAAGAGTTGACGTTGCTGTCAGAGGAAGGGCAATTCTGGTTTCAGGAGGAAGTTCAAGCTTCCACATCCAGGCAAGGGCCTCAGTCTGAGAGCACTTCCATGGAACCTTTTCCCTTTTGGTACATCCCAGTTTGAACATGCAGGGCAGTTAGATGTGGTTAGGAGTATCCCACTCAGGAAATCTGCACTCAGCCTCCCTCCTGCAATGCCTCAAACAGCAACATTCAGAGTTCTCTTCAAAGACAGCAGTTTTTATTCAAAAAGGTGCTACATTTTTACCCTCAAATGATTTGCAGCTCAGGAACTCACAGGTATTTCTACAGTGCCTGCTTGTGGTCAGAATAGTTAAACTCTATTTTATTCTTTTAATCTTTTCTGTCACAGCCTGAACATTGAGGAAGGATTTCCCACCCTCTTGTGGAGTCCACAGGCAAAAGCAGCTTTAACAAAAAGGATCAGCGATACCTTATATTAAGACAGGGGTAAAAAATCCCCCAAAAATCCTTGAGTTGCAAAAACACCATCTGAGAACTTTGAGAAATAGATTGGTTTACTTCTGCAAGTTCTGTGTCGGTTTTTATTTTATGCCTTAATACTGCAGAGCACTTAACAAATACTTAGCATAAAGTTTCAAAATTAATTCTTCAAGATTTAAATAAAAAATTTTGGTTTACAGGCATTAGTTTTTCTAGTCAAAAATAAAATATGCCAAAGAAGTCAGATAAGTTTAGGTAAATTAGCGCTTAATAGAATCCATTTTTCAGCTGCACTGTTTCTTAACAAAAAACCCTACAACATTTTAATTAGCTTTAGTGAAAATTAGGTAAAAGAAAGTAACTGTTTCAAGAAATTCCTGACAAAAAGACACACACAGCTATAACAGTAATATATTACAGTAATTTATTTATTCTTCTGTTTACAGAACCTAATCAAATTATCTTCCTTCCAGATCAGTTGTGTGTCAGCCTTCATGGCTGCAGCAGCAACAGAGCACTGATGAAGCATTGCAGCAAATGCTGACATTAAAAAGGATGGGCAGTTTCTCAAAAGACAGCCATGAATCTTTTAGCTGTATATAAACCAAGAATATTCCAGTTTTTCCTGTAAGACAGGAGGAATCTTTTCACTTTTATTTTTAATTACCCACTTCCACCAAAATGCAGGATGGAGAAAAAAGACTCAAACAAGAGATTGTGTACTAAAGAACATCTTTATCCCTAGAAAATTTTCCCCAACAGACCTTTTTCTTCATGTTTAAGTAATATTTTTAATCTGGTTTTCTTCCTTGGGACTGTGTTGAAATACTTCATTGAATACCTCAAGCTACCACATCATTACTTCATCCAGGCTCTGAAGCTCACAGCTGGTGTAGTATTGGTCTGACTTTGTCAAGATTTCAGCGCCTAGAAATGCAAAGCATGGCCTTTGCCCCTTTGCTAAGTGCACATACAGGTGTGGAACCATCTTGTCCAGAATGGTGGCAAATATGTCTGGTGGCAAATAGTTCTTCCATCCATCATCTCCAGAAATCCACTCTCCCAACAACTTTCTGGTCTGCTCCGTGTTCAAAACTGAGTTTTCCCCAGTGTCATGGCATGGCCCAGAGCACAGCCAGCTCCATGAAATCATGCCAGTACCTCGGGGCTCCCTCCTACAAACCCTGCATATCCTGTGATGCAGTTGTGTGCAGCACCTCACCTTCCCATTGGATTTCTCTCTCTTGCCTCTAATTATACCATCTTTCACCATTTCCTTAGATCACCAAAACCACCATCTCTATGAAAGAATTAATTTTCTCAAATGGCTTTTCAATTTTTTTCTTATTTACCTTTAGCTTGGTTTTCTCAGGGTTAAATACTAGCTGCTTTGTATAGTTTTTGTTTGGCTTTTTTGCTTCTGTTGATTCGTTGGTAGGTTTTTTGTTGTTCTTGACTCCCTTTCTCCAATAGTTGATATTTTTACAAACTTCTCAGCACCTAAGGACTTGTGCAAGACAACTTCTGGGTGGATTGTTTCAGCTCTGCCTGCAGGTCTATAATTTATGCTTTATGATTTGATTAAAAAACGCTTTGAAAATAGTCATTGCAGTTGCAATACTCACACTTCTATTTTCAGTGTACTCTACTGCCTTCCTGTTCTATTCTTTATAAATTAATTAGCAACTCCTGGAATTCCTCTCAGAAAACTTTGCAAATATTTATAAAGATTCCTTTATCTTTTCAGTATTTGCATTTACTATCACATATAACATGCAACATGTAACAGGTAACATCTGAGTGGACTTAGATACAGCAATATAATACAATAACCTAAGAAACGTTGCGGTGGATTCTAGGAAATGACT